CCGGTGCCGCTGGCACCGCTCTGCCTGCAAATTCCTTTTAAGGCCCACGCCGCCGCGGCCCCGTCACATCCCCCCACGGTTCCCCAAAACCCCCCCGGCCCCGGGGACTCACCTCCTCACGCATCTTCTTCACGGACTCCCCTTTCTGTGCAGAGGGAGAGAAGGGAGAGGTGTTAATGCAGCCATGCTGGGCAGGACCCAGGGGAAAAGAGGGAGGCAGGGCGAGGAGGGGGGGGTTTGGTGCTCACTTACCTTCCCAATGATGCTTCCCACCTCCTGGGATGGAAACAAAAGAGGCAATTAGTCAGTGCTTAAAAAAAACTCTGGGAGTCCCAAGCTTAAACAACTCCCTTTTACAGCCGAAACAAGTTCCTCAGGACCCCAGATATCCCCCCCAAGACATACTGACACCTTGCTCCCAGCTGAGCCCTCCATCAGGTCGCTTTTCCCCCCCTCCCAGGGTTTTATTTTTATTGATGCGCTGGGCTTTTAAAGCGCTGCCTCGCTCGTCATGAGATATCCAGGAGCCGGCTTGGTGCCAAGGAGGCACATTCCTAACCCCGCTGCCTAATGGCTGCAATAACGCGGCAGCTCAGAGAGGTCTGACCAACGCCGATTTACTGCCATGGAAGCACCCAGTGTCCACCAGGGCTACCAGAAGGGCCACCCCTGCATCGGACAAGGGGGATTTGGCACAGCCCCACGTCCCACAGACACACGTACCTTTCCATGCATAAGTAGTCGGATGGTGAGCGTGACATTTAAACCACCTTCAATGACACCGGTGTCCATCTTGAGCTGCGTTGGGTTGAGTCAGGCTTTGTCAGTGGTCAGATCTTTGGTCGCTGGGTGAGCAGAGCTGAGAACGAGAGAAGTGTTGCGTTTGAGGAGCTGTGCCAACCCTCCACGGCCAGTTTCTCACCCATCTCAGAAGGATCCAACATCTCTAAGGGGTTTTTTTTCTCCCCTCCTCCTCCTGCATATCACCCTGACAGGTTTAAGGCCGCACTCTGCAGCGATCAGGAAAGCTGATCCACAGCTGTTCATCTCCCCAACAGGCTGATCCTCCTGTCAGAGTTTTCTGAGGCGGATGGTCTGAACTGACACAAGCCCACCTGCATCAAGCAACAGCCAAGAGGGCCTCGCTCGTCCCCTGCCTCCTTCCAGCCCCGCTCCTTGCACAGGCTTCACCTACAGCTCCAGGGAACGTGCCTCTACTTGTGATCCCCACACCTTAATCTAGATTACAAGCTTTCCTCCGCAGCTGCGTGTAGACACACACGCGCCAGACAGAGCGACCGCCCCGTTCCCCTTTGGTTTAACCCACTTGGGGAGCCGGACTGTTTAGAAAAAATCAAATATAAAAACTTCTCTGCGCCCTGAGCCTGCGTGGGGAGGCCTTTCAGACTGGTTTCCAAGCTGATTTACTCAAACCAGATAAGGCCACATGAGCACACGATCAGGTTTCAAACAACCTGCGGCCTGAGCCGACAGGGGTTGCAAAACACCACGACCAGCCACCAGCTCAACTAGTCATCCGTTTAACTTTAAAAATAAATTAAATAAACTTAATTTCAGCTCTTGTTTTTATCAGTCCAGCTGGTCGCCACCCCATCAAAGTTTAACCAAGCCCAGGGAAAATAGAAGGTGGGCAAGGGCAGGGGGATTAATGCAGCAGGGGACCGTGCCAAGCGGGCAGCACTGCCGCGCTCTGGGTTAGTGCTCTTTTTAAGTGGAAGCTGCTGGCATGGAAGGATTTTTTTTTCGCTGTAGCGAGGAGTTACAACCTCCATAAACTCAGCCTGACATCCCATCGGATCCAAAAAGGCGCCCGTTTGCCTAGTTTGGAAGGAAGGGCTCAGGATCCGAGCCTGGCAGCAGCGGAGCAAGGAAGAGAGTCTAGACCCAAGCCCACGAGTCGGTTGTTTACGAGTTTCCCGGTTCACCGGAGGTGGCAGGAGCCTCGCTGGCACCCGCCGCCGTCTCTCCAGCTCTGAACCCACTCCTCCTCCCACCAGTTCAGCGTCCCAGTTCGCCTTCGTTAGCATTAATTTGCTTTCCTGGCAGCGGTTCTGCCAGTCAAACGAGCTTGGGTCGGTTACGGGGCTGCCTCACAGCCTGCTGGGGACTAAAGGAGCCGACCAAACCTGCCAGGGGGTTACGCAAAGGAGAAGCCAAGCCGTGCGGGGCAGGCCGAGGCCGGCAAGCAGCCGCCGCTCCGATTCTGGCTCACGGCGGG